CTCACTATTTCACTTTTAGCAGGTTGAACGGGTGAGCTGTACTGAGATATGAGAGTGAAGATGAACGGCAGGTAATAGACACCTTATCGAACTCCCTGCCCACAGGTGCCCATAACACCGGAAATAGGAAGATGAAACTGATGCCGCCGATCTTTTTTCTAATTCCTACTGAATGGCCTGAACCTGCATTCCGCCGTTGCAAGTCATAGGTAGCACGGTTCAAAAACGGAACAAGAAGTGCTGGTTGACTGAATAGAAAAGAGGCAAGCGGAAGAAACCCAATATAACTGCATAAATAAAGCACTTTTTCTGCAGTTGATTTCGACCACTTCACAAAATGCAGACAACCGAAGGCGACGAGACATGGGGAGCAGGAACAAATGTGTGTGAGAGGTAAAACACACCCCTCGGGTAAAGTAGATAGCTACGCAGACTTCTCTTATTATCGTAGTGGTTGCAAAGGCGGGACGGGCTCATCATTTGTTTTGTTCGAAGCTGTGCAGGAAACTCTCTACCGCAGATATGAAGTGAGAGGTCTAAGCAATTCCGATAGTAAGGATTATAAGGCAGTAACAGCTTCAATTATGAAGCTGGACAGAAGGGAGAAGTGACTACGATGAGTTTGTTATGATGTCATCAAGTAAGAGCTCCCAGAAACATCTTAACTCTTTACACTGATTTCGCACACATAACACAAAATATGGGCCCTATTACCAGGGCTATTGGCAATTCTGTGGTGACTTTTCAATTTCCTTTTTCTTTCTACTAGAAAATGTCTTGGGGAAAGCCTTCAACGTAAACGGTGGTTACTTTCTCGCTTTACATGTGTTTTAAAAAAAAGGGGGTGGGTCGTGCTTGCTCGTTGTTGAACTTTTCGTGTTTTCCTGTTTCAGTATACTATATGCCCCCCCCACCCCCCAAGGGGAAGGTTGGGTTTTCCTCGCGGGTTTTCCCGCTAACATGTGGTACTATTTACCCCCCCCCTCGCTCAAGAGCTCGATGAGGAGGGTGGAGGGCCGGAGGGGGTAGTACCAACCATCAAAAAAAAGGGGGGGGGGGCGTCGTACGGACTCGACCAGAATGTGCTGTGCTTTCTTCCGACAGTTGACGTCTGTAAGGACCTGCAAGCTAACACTGGTTTTAGTGTTATATTGCAAGTCTCAGGGTCATCAAATGTAATCTGGACCATGGTATGCTTCGAAATGATAAGAAAAAAGTTTTACGCCTCCCAAACACCTCAACAAATCACAAACAATTGCGCTCCATGCAAGCGCTACGTTTATTTCATTAATAAAAAAAACTGTATTGGATGAATTTCCCAATTAACAGGGAAGGTCAGTAAGTCAATCCGGTCACTTACACTGAGGTGCACAGCTTCGAACTCGTCTTCAGACGGTGAATTCAAATGCACCATAAGAATCTGCTAAAATTCTCTAAACGGAGTTGTGGAGCATTTTCTCCCCTTCTTGCTGCTTCACATGCCATGTAACGCAGTAGTTGAACGTTACCGGGTAATTGATCGGGTGTCACGGGCGTTAGATTCTGGGATCGACTCCCCTTTATGAGCCACCTTCTTGGATTTTGTTAGTATGGCCAACAAAGCTTCTAACGCCAGTGAGTGGCTTTGTTGGCCATGCTCCTGAAAATGTATGAGATTTGATGAGATGCAGTCACTTGCCTGTAAGAGAGCTCGCGACTAATTTCCTAAAAGTACATGCTCATGTGACCTAGAAGAAAGCTGGTACTTGTCTTTGCCGTGACACATACCACAAGGATTCTCGCACTGAATTGCTGCGATAGTCATGTGCAGCCGATCAAATTGTCATTGACAAGTTTCTAGCCAGTCTGAGTTTGGCCCAATTTTGAAAAAGTGGGGTTCACCATAGGTAAATAGTAAGAGCCTGGAGCTCATCCACCAACCGTGACGGGTCTTCCGACGGAATTTCCTTCCTGTAATCAGGAATGATGCTGACGAGGCAAACATAGGATCCAGGTACTCTCCTCCACGAAAGACAACCCCTTTTTTCCAAAGTTGAGAAAATCTCAAATTTTGTCAGAGTGCTGTTCCGATTATCTGAGCCCCTGAACACGAGGGGCACATCGTTGTTGGGGAATTTCCAACAGGGGGTCGTCTTTGGCCGCCAGGAGAGGCGGGGAGTGTCTAGCCACGGATTATCACAAACATTCACATTGGCGAAAGTGGGTCTCCACCGTGTTACGGATGCCAACACTTCAGATCCAGCGCACCTCCAAGGAAAAGCAGTGGAAAACCTCCATAACTCCGTCCAGAGAATCGCTCTGCCAATTAAGTAATCACTTTGCAACTTGAAAGGCAGTTGGCACGATAAATCCCCCAAGACGACTAGGATCAATACTCCTGGCAGGATAGAATTCCGCGACCCTGGGCAGGCGCTGCATAGCGGTTTCCCCGAGGAAGGTGCCCTTATAAGGGCCCTATCAAGCCACAACTTTACGTCCCAAACGCCCGCCACGCCCGCCCGCCCACAAATGGACGACCGTTCCTGACGCTCGTATTCATTCATTTGCTAAGCAAATTATGAAGCGAAGGGATTGGTATGAAGCGGCCGTGATGCTGCATGCATATATGGGTACACATATGCAGCCGTATCTTCGGTAGCGGTGATTGGCAAGATGCCTACGGGAAACTCGTCCGAAATCGATTTTCAAGTCACTGAGAACGGAGGCTTTTTCTTCGCAGGATTTTGACCGTTTCACTCCGTTCTTTCGCCATTTCCCCACTATACAGCGCCCTACTAGCATTTTAGGCTAAGTAGGAAACCATCGTGCCAACTGCCTTTAAGGTAAGTTTGAGTTCGCCATCTCAAGAGTGTACAGTGGTGTGTACGGGACTGGCCTGGTGAGCTTCCCTGTTAAAGACAGCTCCCGCGATCAGCCAAGATACGTTTGGAGTACAAGGTGGGGGAGTTCGCGGTCACTAAGGATATCCCAGTCTCGCGGCTCGAAGGCGCACGGTAGAAGCACGACAGCTTAGCAATGATAAGCTTCCCACCTTCGCAAGCTAGTTGATCATTTTTGATTATCAAGATTCGTTGGCAGTGGTAATTGCTAAAGCGCAGTTCGGCGACGGGGGGAAGGGGTGAGGTTTGTACTATCACTGCTTCCCTAGTTCCGGTTTACAAGTCTCACTCTGGCGAAACCTGTGAACTCTTGTGAAGCTGGAGCAAGGTCGTCAAGCCATCATGGTAAAACCTGTCAACTCGAGGCTGTCTAGATAGGTCGACACGTCGATGGGAAGTAGCAAAAGTGCAAAATGCCCCCCTCCCCCCCCCCCCCGTCGCCGAACTGCGCCTTGCTAAACTTATCGAATATGCCTTGGAGAGCCGCAGCGAGCGGCAGCTGGATTCAGAGGATTCGCCCGAAGTTTGGTCAACTTCTTTGGATGCGTTCCTTTTACCGCATGACCTAAAGTTTCTGAGCCTTGCAACCTGCAAGATGCGATCGCGGGCACTGTTTTTAAGGCATAAGTATTGATTGTCGTTTTCACAAGTTGAACTGTTCGATGCGAATCGCGTCACTTTTTAGAATTACGACACCGCATTCACATACCTGTCGCACAATCCCTCGTACCATTGAATGAAGGAGCGGGAGATGGAACACTACGATCGCCCATCGAATCATCAGTGGAGGACAAGCTTAACCCGGTATGCTTCGATCCAGAATTCGATACGGTTCCTGAATTCAGTTGAAGTGAGCAGAAATCAGTTCGATTAGTAGATGAAGACAATAAGTGTGGAAGCAATGAACAGAAAAAAAGCAAAGACTATACATGGCAAAACCCACCATTGATACCCGAAGGTGTTGGAGCAAGGGTATGATGTCCAGTAACCTGGCCATTTAATTGAATTTCAACATCATCACAGTCTTCATCACTCGGATTGTAAACACTGGTTGTGGTCATAAATTTGGCTTTTTCCTTCTCCTTCATTGACGCGGCATAGAACCGTAAAGCAGTCACGACTGCGTTCGGGTTTTTCTTTTGATCAGCTTCACTATAAATAAATACGTTCGTCGATTCACAGCATCGCTGTACCATGAATGCCCCTTCCAACTAACCTGATATCTCGCAGCAGTGAATCCATCCATGTATCTGGCAGTCCACTGAATTTCTGTCCATCGTAACCGACATGTATTCTGGAACAGATTAACCTATTTAGAATAACACCATGCGTTGCACTTCTGATGGAAGTACCAACAAGCGACCAGAATACTAATACTAACAGCGTTAACATAGAGCGCCGTCTTTAGAAAAATGACTGTACAATCATTCGTGAGATGTATCCTTTCCGTATGCAATATGAACAGGTCTTCAGCACAAGAGCTGTAGCATCCCAACACCGAAAACGTGCAGCGATGAAGCTATGGGTCCGTAATGTATTGATGTATCTTGTGTCCCTGCCTTCGGCAGCGTTCAGACTTCACGATGATGCGCGTCGCTGTAGCACGCTGTGACGCGCGACGACGCGCTGTAATGCGCTATAACGCGAGTCGACTCGCTACAGTTACAACAGCGCTCCGAAGCACGCGAACGCTGCCGCAGACGACCGGTGCCGACCGTCAGTGTGCGCGACCAGGCAGCACTCGGTGCCCATGGATCAAGCGTTCGCCGACGACAATCGATCGGCCGGATGACTGCGGTTGCGCTCTACATACGTTTGAGCTTCCGTTACGATTTTAGCGCGTCGACGCACGACTTCGCGATGTCTGAACGCCTTCTTCCATTTAAAACGCGACACGCACGCTACAGCCTCGTCCTACGACCATACTTCTGTTCACAGTAACTGGCAGTAGCTTGCGTATCGCGTCATATAAATGGCACACAGACATAAGAAGCATTAAGCTCTTACAGGCCCTTAGTTTCATTGTCGCGCAACCTCCAAAGGTGAAAGATCCATACTTCTACTGCTGCTGATCTGCCCATTTCCCACACGGAAATCCTACACCTCTCCATAATTGTGCAGTGCGTCATTGAGACCCGATTTCTACCAAGCAGAACAGTTATAGCAGTAATGTACCGTTTATTAGAACCTCTCTTCAAAACTTTTGTTTCTACAAAACCATGTGGCACCGATGTGGTGCTCAGTACACGACGTACATGGGGATACCCAGATAGCGAGGATCTTATTTGGTCGCAAGAGGAGGGCGGAAGGATGCCGTGTTCCCTTTTGAGCAAGGAGAAAGTTCTTTTTGGGTTGCCGACTTTTCCGTTTTTCTGCTGTTTCTGGTGCGCTACACACCCCGCTCACCGGTTTTTTTTTTCGGGAAAAGGTGGGAGAGTTTCTGGAAAAACAAACTCTGTAAAAGTTGTAGGAGAAGGCAAAAATTCAGGATGCAGGGTCGGATTAGGGATTGGTGTATGGGCGAGGGGCGTCTGATCAGAGTGGTAAATTTCGAGTGAGAAGGGGTGGGATTTCGCAAATAAAACTTTCAACGGCATGACATGCCCTGACTTTACTGCATCACAACTCATTCATTCACTTCGTGAAAACCGCTAGTAACAGCGACGGAAAAGCAGGAGCGCCCATATTATCTCGGCTTTATTACAACACGGATGAGCAAAAAGATTGGATGCTAATGACAGGCTGAGCAACCGTGTTCGTTTTAGGAATCACAGGAATCTCAAGAAGATGCCTTCCTTACACAGCTCACAAATACTTTACAGCTATTACAGGCTATTTCGCAGCGTCACACGCGTGAACGGGTGCGAAATGTCGGCAGACCGCCTACAAACTGGAAACCAATTCGCGCAGTATGTAATCAACGCTTTAATGCTCGCTGAATGCGATGACACCCTATTATGTCTACCGTAATAGGCCATTTTTTTCAATGTCCTGCCATTCGTTGAAGCACTTACGTGCTTTAAACACATACGTATTTAGTGGGAGCAGCATTCTATCAGACTGTGAAGAATGTCCTATCAGTGTGGTTTGAATACCTACAGCTTTCCATTCCTGGTACCTGAAAATGACGTAACATGCTATGCTTGCAGAGCAAATTCGATGTTAGTACAGGAGCATCTCCGGGTCATCTTCTGTGCATGGCGACGGCAGCTGTCCGCTAATCAATCACCGTGTATGGAGGGAAGAACACTACAACTATCGGGAATGTCTGCAGGTGGTTTGCCCTATTCGCGACAAAGGCCTATCTTTCAAGGCAAACCTGGTCGGAACTCTTTACGAAAAGGAAGACTCCATACGAAAAGGAAGACTCCACCGTTCTCGAAGTCACCAAAGAGGATCCGGGGACTACTACCCGCAATCTTGCGACAAGACTTGGGAGCATATAACTGAAAGTCGTCAACCGTCTGTAAGTCGTCGGCTATCGAGAAAAGCTGGCTCGCTTGATTCCTCAGACCTTAACGGGTGACGTGATACAATCGGATGATACCCATTTGCTGGTCTCCCCTTCTCCGCCCTCATCACAGAGTTTCTGAGAGAATGTTTAGTGGAGATGAGAGATGGGTTCTCTATGATTATAATTCAGACA